GTACTATACAATACACATGAAAGCCTGTTTACATTACATGTATTTTCATTAACTACTGAACTGTACATGTGAATCCCAATATGTACAATACATGTACATGTACATGTACATCATAATGTTCAATATTAGCACCTTTATATTACGAAATAAGAATATCCCTTTTCCTTGACAACCACTACCAGGCTTAGCTATGAACACTTTGTTTTTCTTTGTCTGACAGTAAGCTTGAAAATCACCAAAACTAAGAGAAAGAAAATCAAGTACATACTAGCAGAGAAAGACTAAAGAAATAAGACAATAAGTTACATGTATATGTACATGTACAACTACATGGTATAGTGTATATAAAGGAGAGAATGTAAATTGTTTCATACTCAGCAGGTAATGTCCATGTCCTTGGGAAGCAGTTGTACTCTTTTGGAAATAATTTTAACATTCTATTCATGTTCCTTGCCAGGAAATCTTTACGACATATCTCATTCATCCCTGGGAAATGATTGACTTTCTGTGAGATAAAAGGGATGAGAGAGAGAGAGAGAGGGAGGGAGGGAGGGAGAGAGAGGGAGAGAGAGAGGGAGAGAGAGAGGGAGAGAGGGAAAGAGAGAGAGAGAGAGGGAAAGAGAGAGAGGGAGAGAGAGAGAGATCATTTGTACATGTACATGTAGACTTTGACGGCTGCAGAGGTTCAACTCAGCCAGGCCTAGGCAATTCTAATTAAAGGGGTGTGGTAAAAGGGTTAAATAGCCTTAAATAGCATTGTTTCTGCGTCTGGTCTAATTTTTAGCCTAGGCAATGACCCCCAAAGCCTAGGCCTGTAGCCGCCTATGCATGTAGAAAGCTTAAACATTCCAAGAAGGATTAAATTTAGGTTATCATGAATAAATGATAACTGAACAAAATTAACTTCAATCACACAGATGTACATGTACATTCTATTTCATAACTCAATCATCTTTAATACTCTTTTTCATTCATTCCCTGTCTTTCTGATCATTACCTGGTATGATTTTATTTCAGTTACTCTATCAGGGAGTGCCATGTCAGTCCAGTATATTACCCAATCACTGGGGTCCTCCCCAGTCACCACTTTCATGCCAAACTTCCTTGCCATTCGACGAACTAAAATAAAAGAAAATAATTATTATGAAAGGAATATTAAATAACAGATATCTTATCTCTTTCAGTACTTCTTACCACTATCATATTTGCAGTTTGTTAGGTTAATAGTCAATGACGACCTACATATTAAAAAAACAAGTAAAAATTACACGAGAAATGCTATCAATTTTTCTCTATCATTCTTTCTCTTTTACAAGGAACGCAATCGTACTTTTTCTTCTTCTTTTTAACACTTTTATGCTCCTGTGTCTCTACTCCGGTCTCATCTTCTTCCTCTCCTCCTATCTTCTCGGGGAGGACAGTTTCAGGCGAGTCACTCACTGAAGCTGCGGCAGCCATTGTATCTCTCAAATGGTTGTTGTTTGTGGGTGGGCGTGTCCATGGCAACGAATTGGGATAAAATGGCGACGCTTTTTAACGCCTCATGATTATTGCAACTTGCAAGCAACTGTGTTCCAAGAATTATTGTGTCCCTCTAGGCTACGTGAAACTAGTCTTCTTCTAGTCTCTTGTGTTTGTCATTAAAACAGCATAAAAATTTAAATATCACACCACAAAAACCTTAATTTAGCCTGACCGAAACTTTACCGCTAAATCTACTAATTTCAGTTTCAATAGACTTATAATCTTGCCCTATAGCCAGGCTCAACAGCTTAGAGTAGATTGGTTTCAATGTATATTTTATTCAGAATGTTGGATCTGATGTATGAAATTATCATGGCGGATTTTTGCACGGTCACGGTCATTTTACTACTAAATAGACTATGCCGGTGCATGAGGCTGAAAGATCAAGTCAAATGTGGACTTGACAATGTACATCTTAAAGCTATACACAGCAATTAAATTAATCAAAGAGCCCTGGTTATTATCATTATTACAGTGGCATGAATGGCCCCGTGCATGCAGCATGCAGGCTATGCAGGTGGGCCTATGGTATCATAGTCAGACCATTCCCCAGCCTACATTGCCGTCCACCTCAATGACTGTAGGCTGGGGAATGGTCTGGGCAGCAAGACTAGGCCTACGGCTGGCCAACATACCTGCTGCTGGCTGCATGTCAGATCAGATAAGCCGTTATAGTAGTGCATGCATAGTGTAGCTGCATGCAGGCATAGTGTAGCTGCATGCAAGCAAAACATAAAGCTATAGGACTTGACATGCAGCAAAAAGATGCACTACACTAGCTGTAGCAAACATTGTGGCCCATTGACGCTTGAACATCATGCAGTGACTATGTATACTCATGCAAGGCCGCACTCCATCGAGTTGTATTTGCCAACTATAGCCTTCTTAAATCTATTATGCAATATCAACTATGCTATACTAAAACTATAATGGAAAAATTTCAACAATACTCTGCTGTATATTAAACTGTTACATTTATTGTGGCATATGTTCATAAACATCATCAGGTGATGTTTGGCATTCATCATAGACTCCTTCATTCTCTTCACTTTGTTTAGTCTTGTGAATTTCGTATGGTTCACATACTTGCATTGCAATATCATCATCAACTCTATATTAATTATTTTGTGTTAAATAACTATAAACATAATAGAATAGACTAACTTGGTTTGCTTCTTATTAACAGTATATGAACTCTTCTTCCTATCAAAAACAATAACAAATTATTGTACCATATATAACAATGTAAACTATACCTTATAAAGCAGTAGATGTTAATAATGATACTGACAGTTAATAGACAACACAATATACCCACTAACACACTGAGAGCAATAATGCTATTGGATGTATCACGAGTTGATGGGATTACTGAAACTGGAGTAGCAGTTACAACTGAAGTGGAGTTACATAAAGGACAATCTGTATTAGATTGAGTGGAACAGTGCAAACATAAAGTGTGAAAAATGATGATAATCTATACTTACTTATTGAACAATACCCAGTTGATGAGCTAGAAGTATCTAATTGAACTGATGTTGTGAAAATTTTACTAGTTGATGGCTGTGGTGGTAGAGTTAATGTCTCATTAGCAATAACTGTCCATTTTCCATATCTATTAACAGTGTATGAACGTACACCAAAAACATAACACGACATATCATCAAGACCAGTAATGTTAATAAATGTTGTGCAAAGGGTTGAATTAGAGAACTGTAATCTTTGAATATCAATGTCATTTTCATCTACCATTGAACAGTTACCAAACTGTATGATATGATATCCTATCTCATATGTGATAATGGGATAGTTTTGTGGAATATAACTAGGTACACTCCATGAGATAACTGCCCATGTAGTGCCTATGATACTGGATACTGAACCAACTGGACCAGGTACTAAATAAAGACACATTCTCACAGAACTGATCTAGTATAATAATTACATACCTATTCCAATCTCTACTACAGTAGGATCACTGAAGGGACCTCTTCCAACAGAATTGACAGCAGCTACACCAATGTTATACTCAGTACCAAATACTAGATCATTCAATATAATATATATCTCAATACTGGTGAGGTTGTATGTGATACTACTGTTACTGATAATCACTATATAGCCTGTGATTAGACCATTACGCTCAGAACAATTGACCTCATTCCATGTGAGATTATTAGCTGTAGAATTAACTTGTAATACTTCAATTGATAAAGGCTGACCACTAGGAGCTACAAATCACAATTAATCATCAATTATTGAAAAAATACCCTAGTATCATTACCTATTGGCTTGGTTTGTACTGTGTCTATGTTTAATTCAGATCTTCCTAGTACATTACCAGCTCTCACTGTGATGGTATAGTTCATTCCACTGTACAGACCTATTAATGTATAACTGATGTATGTTGTAGTGGACTGATGAGGAGCAACAGAGACTATCTCATTCAATGATGATAACTGGGGACAAGATGGAGTATAGGAGATGGTGTAGTATGTTACATAGTTGTAACTACTGGGAATAGTCCAGTTCACTGTAATACCAGTGGTTGAGACATTAGATACTGAGAGACTAGTTACTGGAATAGGAACTAGAACAGATATCAATTACACTCTCTCAATGATAATAACTCACCATCAAATCTTAAAACTGTTACTGTACTATTAACTGAAGGAAGATCTATATATGAGTACACACTGATGGTATAGGTACTCATTGGTGAGAGATCTGTTAGTGCAATTTTATCTTCACTGGTAGATACTACATTCCTGGTTACACCTCCAGTAGTATACTCAATTACATATCCATTAGTCTCTGATGAATTGGTCCAGTTCACTTTGATACTAGTAGCATTTAATATAAACCCTCTCACATTATTTGGAGGACCACTAGGAGCTAGGAATAAGACAAAGGTATCTACTATTGATTAAAGTATAATCATACCATGTAATATCACATATTGACTGTAGTTGACTCCTCTAATCATTGCTATACAGGTAACATTAACTGACACTCCCAGTGGATCAGGATATACCAGTAGTGTGTTGTTGTATGTCAGGACATCAATTGATGTATACATTGAGTTACTCTTCATCACTCCATTCACTAACCAGTAAACATCAGTTGAAGGATTAATATCAGTAGTTGTGAGACAATCAATACGATATTGAGTGTTATTGAGTTGTGTAATGGATGAGATTAGTGTCCAATTGATTGAATTAATAACTAGAAATACATCAACAATGTTACAAGTACATTAAAACGTGCAGTAGCAGTACCTGGTAAGGTCTGTACACTGATTGTACTACTAGCAGGTCCCAGTAATTGTTGATAGGCTCTGGCTTTGACGTTATAAGTTGTTCCTCCTCTCAGTCCATTCAGTGTGATTGTATTATTACTACTTCCCTCCACCTGTACTGTCTGCACAGTGTCTGTGTCATTAGTGACATTGACTACATATCCATCAGCATCAGATGAATTAAGTGCAGTCCAACTGACAGTGATAGTGGCAGCTGTCTTGTTGACCTCAGTAAGAGAAGAGGGAGCAGTTGCTGGTACTAAATATGCAAAAATGTTATAAGATAAAATTATAATCTCAGTTCACCTTTTATATCTATAATACGTATTCTAATTTCATTAGCATCAGGATGATCTGCTACCCTGCACTGATACATTTGATCTCCAGTGGTTGATTGACTGATTGATCCACTACTGACAGTCATTCCATCCCATGTGATATCAACAGTATATCTTACTGTGTTGGTAATACTAACCAACACAGTACCAGAACAAGAATTAATAGGATCATAACAGTTAGTGTAACTAGCCAGTGCAGTACTACCAATGCTCATACTAATACCATAGCTATTGTGTCCAATTTTATTACAATTCAGTTTGTATTCCTGAGGATATACTGTCATATCAGAAGGAAGATCAGCAACAGTAAATGATTCTATCTGTGAAAATCCTACATATATGACAATTACGACATCAGTAAGTGATTTATAGTCTCCTCTTACTGAATATATTAGCAAAGATGATGTTAGTGCTAGGATCTGAACAATCAGTGGGTAGACAACATTTGTACCAGCCTTCTTGAGCTGCTGGTAGTCCCTGAGCAAGATAAAGATTGAGAGTAGCATTAGGTGAAGTGACAGAAGTGCAACGAAATGGATCATTGTTAGTATTGTCACAGTCAACAGGATCATCAGGATCAGCTACTCTAACCCACTGACCAGTAGTTAGACTAGTACCAGGTAACACACATGATATAGCTTCATTTGCTGCATTGACACTACTATCCCAAAAATATGATCCATTAGGATAACAGTTTCCTGCATAGGATCTGGTCAGGTAGATACCTATAAAAACCTATACAGTTGTTATTATACACATCCAGTGTCTTACCTGAGGAAGGCGGACACTGACTAATAACTTCACTGACACTCAACAAGAAGACAATGGACAATACTGAAAACATCATTTTGAAAAGTGGGTGTGTAGATCTATGTGTCATAGATCTACAAGATTAAATCTATTATTAGCTCTATATTAGCTCTACTTGGTTTTGATAACATTCAGATAATAATAATCTGTGATTTTAATTTTTAACAAGCACATAAAGTTTTATTCTTTTTTTCACACAAACTATATGCATAATTTACATCTACTACATAAAAATGCTACAATAAAACTAGACTAGTGGAAAAGTTTCAGTTAATTTATCAGTAATTTTAGTGAATATATTGTGGCATAATGATCACAAATAAATATCATCAGGTGATGTTTGACATTCATCATGGACTCCTTCCTTCTCTTCACTTTGTTTAGTCTTGTGAATTTCATATGGTTCACATACTTGCATTGCAATATCATCATCATTAATTCTATTAAAGTAGTGAATAGCATAAAGTAATAGAATAAACTAACTTTGTTTGCTTATTAAAACTACATGGACTTTTCTTTCTATAAGAAAACAACAATAAGTTATTGTATGTAACTAGATACCTTATAAAGCAGTAGATATGAACAACAACACTGACAGTTAGTAGACCACACAATATACCCACTAACACACTAAGAGCAATGACACTGTCTGATGTAGCATGGTTAGATGATAATTGTAGTGGCAGTTTTAGTGTCTCATTAGCAATAACTGTCCATTCTCCATATCCATTATCAGTGTATGCACGTACACCAAGAATATAACAAGACTCAACATTAAGGCCAGTGATAACAATTAATGTATTAGTTGAATTACGTAGTTGTAGTATTTCAGTATTAAAGTCATAATAATTTAACATTAAACAGTTAACATACTGCAAGATATGATATCCTATCTCATATGTGATAATGGGATAGTCTGATGGAATATAACTAGGTACACTCCATGAGATAACAGCCCATGTAGTGTCCATGATACTGGATACTGAACCAACTGGACCAGGTACTAAATAAAGACACATTCTCACAGAACAGATCTAGTATAATAATTACATACCTATTCCAATCTCTACTACAATAGGATCACTGAAGGGACCTCTTCCAACAGAATTAACAGCAGCTACACTGATGCTATACTCAGTACCAAATACTAGATTATTCAATATGATATATCTCTCAGTACTGGTGAGGTTGTATGTGATGCTACTGTTACTGATAATCACTGTATAGCCTGTGATTAGACCATTACTCTCAGAACAATTGACCTCATTCCAAGTGAATCTACTAGCTGTAGAATTAACTTGTAAGACTTGAATTGACGATGCCAAACCACTAGGAACTGAAAAGTACAATTACAATCTAATCAAAGACTATAAGAATTATTACTTTTTGCTTCAGTTTGAGCCAATGAGCTCATGTTTAAATCAGATCCTCCTAGTACATTACCAGCTCTCACTGTGATGGTATAGTTCATACCACTGTACAGACCTATTAATGTATAACTGTATGTTGTAGTGGACTGATGAGGACCAACAGAGACTGTCTCATTCACTGATGATAACTGGGGACAAGATGGAGTATAGGAGATGGTGTAGTATGATACATAATTGTCCCTAGTGGGAATAGTCCAGTTCACTGTAATACCAGTGGTTGAGACATTAGATACTGAGAGACTAGTTACTGGACTAGGAACTACAACAGATATTAATTACACTCTCTCAATGATAATAACTCACCATCAAGTCTTAACACTGTTACTGTACTATTAACTGAAGGAAAATCTATATATGAGTACACACTGATGGTATAGGTACTCATTGGTGAGAGATCTGTTAGTACGATTTCATCTTCACTGGTAGATACTACATTCCTCGTTACACCTCCAGTAGTATACTCAATCACATATCCAATAGTCTCTGATGAAGTGGTCCAGTTCACTTTGATACTAGTAGCATTTAATATGAACCCTCTCACATTATTTGGAGGACCACTAGGAGCTAGAAAAGAGACAAAGGTATCTACTATTGAAGAAAGTAAGATCTTACCATGTAATATCCCAGATTGATTGTAGTTGACTCCTCCAATCATTGCTATACAGGTAACATTAACTGACACTCCCAGTGGATCAGGATATACCAGTAGTGTGTTGTTGTATGTCAGGACATCAATTGATGTATACATTGAGTTACTCTTCATTACTCCATTCACTAACCAGTAAACATCAGTTGAAGGGTTTATGTCAGTAGTTGTGAGACAATCAATACAATATTGAGTGTTATTGAGTTGTGTAATTGATGAGACTAGTGTCCAATTGATTGAATTAATAACTAGAAATACATCAACAATGTTACAAGTACATTAAAAAGTGCAGTAGCAGTACCTGGTAAGGTCTGTACACTGATTGTACTAGCAGGTCCCAGTAATTGTTGATAGGCTCTGACTGTGATGCTATAAGTTGTTCCTCCTCTCAGTCCATTCAGTGTGATTGTATTATTACTACTTCTCTCCACCTGTACTGTCTGCACAGTGTCTGTGTCACTAGTGACATTGACTACATATCCATCAGCATCAGATGAATCAAGTGCAGTCCAACTGACAGTGATAGTGGTAGCTGTCTTGTTGACTTCAGTAAGAGAAGAGGGAGCAGTGTCTGGAACTAAGAAAAAGACATTATACATAAGTATTGATTAAAGACATTACCATTTATTGTTAAAGTTCGTGTTCTATCAGCACCACTAGGATTATTGAGTGCACACTGATACATTTGATCTCCAGTGGTTGATTGACTGATTGATCCACTACTGACAGCCATTCCATTCCATGTGATATTAACAGTATATCTTATTTTGATGGTAATGCTAACAAACAATGTACCAGGACAATTACTATATTGATCATTACAATTAGTGTAATTAGCCAGTGCAGTACTACCAATTCTCATACTAATACCATAAATAAAGTGTCCAATTTTGGCACAATTCAGTTTGAATTCCTGAGGATATACTGTCATGTTAGAAGGAAGATCAGCAACAGTAAACGATTCTATTTCTGCAAATTCTACAAATGAAAAATTATTACATTAGTAAGTGATTATTGTCTCCTCTTACTGAATATATTAGCAAAGATGATGTTAGTGTTAGGATCTGAACAATTAGTTGGTAGACAACACTTGTACCAGCCTTCTTGAGCTTCTGGTAGTGACCAAGCATGATAAAGATTGAGAGTAGCATTAGGTGAAGTGACATTAGTGCAACGAAAAGGATCAGTGGTATTATTACTGTCACAGTCAACAGGATCATCAGGATCAGCAACTCTAACCCACTGACCAGTAGTTAGACTAGAACCAGGTAACACACATGATATAGCTTCAGTAATTTCATTGACATTATTATCCCAAAAATATGATCCATTAGGATGACAGTTTCCATCATGCATCAGGTAGATGCCTATAAAAACATACACAGTTGCTGTTATACACATCCAGTGTCTTACCTGAGGAAGGTGGACATTGACTGAAAACTTCACTGACATTCAACAAAAAGACAATGGACAATACTGAAAACATCATCTTGAAAAGAGACTGTACAAAATGGGTGTGTATGTGTGTCATACCAGGTCCTATTACTACTTCGGTTTGATTGCATTCAGATACTAATTATCATAATACATATTCACAAGTATGTAAAGTTTTGTCCTTTTTGTACACAATCTATAAATGCTACAACAAAACTAGTGACAACAGTAATATTAAGTATAACTTTATAGTACACATTCATTGTGGAATACGCTCATAAACATCATCAGGTGATGTTTGACATTCATCATAGACTCCTTCATTCTCTTCACTTTGTTTAGTCTTGTGAATTTCATATGGTTCACATACTTGCATTGCAATATCATCATCAGCTCTATTAAAGTAGTGAATAGCTTAAAGTAATAGAATAAACTAACTTTGTTTGCTTATTAAAAGTACATGGACTTTTCTTTCTATAAGTAAACAATAATAAGTTATTATTTATGTAAATAGATACCTTATAAAGCAGTAGATATTAGTAACAATAATGAAAGTTAGTAGACCACACAATATACCCACTAACACACTAAGAGCAATAACACTGTCTGATGTAGCACAGTTAGATGATAATTGTACTGGTAGTTTTAGTGTCTCATTAGCAATAACTGTCCATTCTCCATATCCATTAACAGTGTATGCACGTACACCAAAAATATAACAAGACATTTCACTAAGATCAGTATTGATAATGAATGCATTAGTTGAATTACGTAGTTGTAGTATTTCAGAATTAAAGTCATCATAATTTACCATTGAACAGTTACCAGATTGTAAGATATGATATCCTATCTCATATGTGATAATGGGATAGTCTGATGGAATATAACTAGGTACACTCCATGAGATAATAGCCCATGTAGTGTCCATGATACTGGATACTGAACCAACTGGACCAGGTACTAAATAAAGACACATTCTCACAAAACTGATATAGTATAATAATTACATACATATTCCAATCCCTACTATACTAGGATCACTGAAGGGACCTCTTCCAACAGAATTGACAGCAGCTACACTGATGTTATACTCAGTACCAAATACTAGATCATTCAATATGATATATCTCTCAGTACTGGTGAGGTTGTATGTGATACTGCTGTTACTGATTATCACTATATAGCCTGTGATTAGACCATTACGCTTATAACAATTGACCTTATTCCAAGTGAGATTATTAATTGGTTGCAATAAAGACAATGAATTAGGTACTCCAGTAGGAGCTATAAATAAAGTGCCTTATAATAAGCAATTCAAATGAAGTCTTTACCAAACCTCTAGATATTGTGTACTCTTCAACTAAACTAGGATCAGATCCTCCTAGTACATTACCAGCTCTCACTGCGATGGTATAGTTCATACCACTGTACAGACCTATTAATGTATAACTGTATGTTGTAGTGGACTGATGAGGAGCAACAGAGACTGTCTCATTCACTGATGATAACTGGGGACAAGATGGAGTATAGGAGATGGTGTAGCATGCTACATAGTTGTCACTACTGGGAATAGCCCAGTTCACTGTAATACCAGTGGTTGAGACATTAGATACTGAGAGACTAGTTACTGGACTAGGAACTAGAACAGATCGAATCAATTACACTCTCTTAATGATAATAACTCACTATCAAATTTTAACACTGTTACTGCACTATTAACTGAAGGAAGATCTATATATGAGTACACACTGATGGTATAGGTACTCATTGGAGAGAGATCTGTTAGTACAGTTTCATTTTTACTAGTAGATACTACATTCCTGGTTACGCCTCCAGTAGTATACTCAATCACATATCCATTAGTCTCTGATGAATTGGTCCAGTTCACTTTGATACCAGTAGCATTTAATATAAACCCTCTTGCATTATTTGGAGGATCATTAGGAGCTAAAAAAACAAAGGTATGGTACTATTGATTAAAGTATGTTCATTTATACCATATAATATCACAAATCGACTGTAGTTGATTCCTCCAATCATTGCTATACAGGTAACATTAACTGACACTCCCAGTGGATCAGGATATACCAGTAGTGTGTTGTTGTATGTCAGGACATCAATTGATGTATACATTGAGTTACTCTTCATCACTCCATTCACTAACCAGTAAACATCAGTTGAAGGATTTATATCAGTAGTTGTGAGACAATCAATACGATATTGAGTGCTATTGAGTTGTGTAATGGATGAGACTAGTGTCCAATTGATTGAATTAATAACTAGAAATACATCAACAATATTATAAGTACATTAAAAGGTGTAGTAGCAATACCTGGTAAGGTCTGTACACTGATTGTACTAGCAGGTCCCAGTAATTGTTGATAAGCTCTGACTGTGATGCTATAAGTTGTTTCTCCTCTGAGCCCATTCAGTGTGATTGTGTTATTACCACTTCCCTCCACTTGTACTGTCTGCACAGTGTCTGTGTCACTAGTGACATTGACTACATATCCATCAGCATCAGATGAATCAAGTGCAGTCCAACTGACAGTGATAGTGGTAGCTGTCTTGTTGACTTCAGTAAGAGAAGAGGGAGCAGTTGCTGGAACTATATATAGCAGTAATAATCATTATTGGCAGATTGTATTTTTACCTTTAATGGTCAAAGTACGTGTTCTATCATTACCCCCACTAGGATTATCCAGTACACACTGATACATTTGCTCACCAGTAGTTGATTGACTGATTGATTCACTACTGACAGTCATTCCATCCCATGTGATGTTAACAGTATATCTTACTGTGTTGGTACTACTAACTAACACTGTACCAGGACAAGGATTACTAAGATCATAGCATCCAGTGTAACTAGCCAGTGCAGTGCCACCAATGCTCATATTAATACCATAATGAGCGTATCCAATTTTAGTACAATTCAGTTTGTATTTCTGAGGATATACTGTCATATCAGAAGGAAGATCAGCAACAGTAAATGATTCTATCACTGAATATCCTACAAATGATAATTATTACATCAGTAAGTTATTTATAGTCTCCTCTTACTGAATATATTAGCAAAGATGATGTTAGTGTTAGGATCTGAACAATCAGTGGGTAGACAACACTTGTACCAGCCTTCTTGAGCTGCTAGTCCCTGAGCAAGATAAAGATTGATAGCAGCAGGTGAAGTGACATTAGTACAGCGAAAAGGATCACTGGCACTATTACTGTTACAGTCAACAGGATCATCAGGATCAGCAACTCTAACCCACTGACCAGTAGTTAGACTAGTACCAGCTAACACACATGATATGGCTTTAGTAACTGCATTGACAGTATTGTCGAAAAAATATGATCCATTAGGATAACAGTTTCCTTTATATGCTAAATAGATACCTATAAAATCAATGCTTATACAGTATATTTATATTAAAGTTGAATACCTTCTTGCTGACAAATATGAGTGAAAACATTGATTGTACTACTAGCAGGTCCCAGTAATTGTTGATAGGCTCTGACTGTGATGTTATAAGATGTCAGTTCCCTCAGTCCATTCAGTGTGATTGTATTATTACTACTTCCCTCCATCTGTACTGTCTGCACAGTGTCTGTGTCACTAGTGACATTGACTACATATCCATCAGCATCAGATGAATCAAGTGCAGTCCAACTGACAGTGATAGTGGTAGCTGTCTTGTTGACTTCAGTAAGAGAAGAGGGAGCAGTTGCTGGAACTATATATAGCAGTAATAATCATTATTGGCAGATTGTATCATTACCTTTAATGGTCAAAGTACGTGTTCTATCAGCACCACTAGGATTATCCAGTACACACTGATACATTTGATCTCCAGTAGTTGATTGACTGATTGATCCACTACTGACAGTCATTCCATTCCATGTGATATGAACAGTATATCTTATTGTGTTGGTACTACTAACTAACACTGTGCCAGGACAAGTACTATATCGATCATCACAACTAGTGTAATTAGCCAGTGCAGTACTATCAATGCTCATACTAATACCATATAAATAGAGTCCAATTTTAGTACAATTCAGTTTGTATTCCTGAGGATATACAGTCATATCAGAAGGAAGATCAGCAACAGTAAATGATTCTATCTCAGCAAATCCTATAAATGAAAATTATTACATCAGTTAGTGATTATAGTCTCCTCTTACTGAATATATTAGCAAAGATGATGTTAGTGTTAGGATCTGAACAATCAGTGGGCATACAACACTTGTACCAGCCTTCTTGAGCTGATGATAGTCCCTGAGCAAGATAAAGATTGAGAGTAGCAGGTGAAGTGACAGAAGTACAACGAAAAGGATCACTGGCACTATTACTGTTACAGTCAACAGGATCATCAGGATCAGCAACTCTAACCCACTGACCAGTAGTTAGACTAGTACCAGGTAACACACATGATATAGCTTCAGTAACTTCATTGACACTACTATCCCAAAAATATGATCCATTAGGATAACAGTTTTCATTATATGCTAAATAGATACCTAAGAAATCAATGCTTATGCAGTATAATTACATTAAAGTTAAATACCTTCTTGCTGACAAATATGAGTGAAGACACTGATTGTACTAGCAGGCCCCAGTAATTGTTGATAGGCTCTGACTGTGATGCTATAAGATGTCAGTTCCCTCAGTTCATTCAGTGTGATTGTATTATTACTACTTCCCTTCACCTGTACTGTCTGCACAGTGTCTGTGTCATTAGTGACATTGACTACATATCCATCAGCATCAGACGAATCAAGTGCAGTCCAACTGACAGTGATAGTGGTAGCTGTCTTGCTGACCTCAGTAAAAGAAGAGGGAGCAGTTGCTGGGACTACATATGTGAAAATATTTTAAGAAAAAAAAATTAAATCTCAGGTTACCTTTAATAGTTACATTACGTATTCTAATTGCATTAGCATCAGGATGATCTGCTACCCTGCACACATATATTTGATCTCCAGTGGTTGATTGACTGATTGATCCACTACTGACAGTCATTCCATCCCATCTGATATTAACAGTATATCTTATTGTGTTGGTACTACTCACTAACACAGTACCAGGACAATTACTATATTGATCATTACAATTAGCGTAATTAGCCAGTGCAGTATTATCAATGCTCATACTAATATCATAAGTATAATATCCAAGTTTAGTACAATTCAGTTTGTATTTCTGTGGATATACTGTCATATCAGAAGGAAGATCAGCAACAGCAAATGATTCTATTTCTGAAAATCCTATAAATGGAAATTATTACATCAGTAAGTGATTACAATAGTCTCCTCTTACTGAATATATTAGCAAAGATGGTGTTAGTGTCAGGGTCTGAACAATCAGTGGGTAGACAACACTTGTGCCAGCCTTCTTGAGCTGCTGGTAGTCCCTGAGCAAGATAAAGATTGAGAGTAGCATCAGGTGAAGTGATGGAAGTACAACGAAAAGGATCACTGGCACTATTACTGTTACAGTCAACAGGATCATCAGGATCAGCAACTCTAACCCACTGACCAGTAGTTAGATTAGTATCAGGTAACACACATGATACAGCTTCAGTAACTGCATTGACACTACTATCCCAAAAATATGATCCATTAGGATAGCAGGTTCCTGCATAAGATCTGGTCAGGTAGATACCTATAGAAACCTATACAGTTGTTATTATACACATCCAGTGTCTTACCTGAGGAAGGTGGACATTGACTAATAACTTCACTGACACTCAACAAGAAGACAGTAATCATCAAGGATACTGAGAATGCCATAGTTACTGGTACAATTTTGACAAACTACACAGTTTTCTTTTTCATAAATAAAGTGCAAAAAAGCTTTACATGTCACTAGCCATGATAATTCAAAACAATAACATGTTTACGCACTGTGACAAACTCTGTACATAAACCATGCACACATAAGTTTTGTATTGTGTTTCAGTGAGTGCATATACATGCATTATGTTTTCAGTTCACATCACAGGATTAATACCGTATATCGGGTTTGTTTTGGGAGGCTAAACTTTCGTTCTTTTTGTTCTTCAAGATGGGAGAATGAACAAACGAAATTCCAGTTTTAATGGGCGTGGTAGCTTATTAACGTATTCAGAATGAATGTTTAACCTCACAAAAGTCATTTTGAGGATGGAAAATGAAAATTTACCCTCACGAAACTAACCCGCTATATGGTATACTATAGCTTGTCTATTGGCAATCAATTTTAGGTTATTTTATTTGCAGTAATTCACATCTAAATACGAAGTGTGACAAATGGTTAAAGTTGTCATTAGATTTATACATTGATATCTTCATTCTTTTGTCAGACTTTTAAGTAACTTAAAAATTCATTAAAAATTCACATTTGCTCAACAGAACCATTGCTTAAAAATTTTTAAATACAACATGAGAACATGTGTTTGTACAAATCAGAAAAAATTATAAAAATGGAGATTTCTCTCCTTTTCAATTTTGGCAAAATTTTTCCAAAAACCTTGCACTGGATTTTAGCCCAGTTTTGGAGCAACTTTAAAATTTTGTAAAAAGTAAAATGTATTAAAATCAGTTTAAAACTAAAACACAACATAAAAACATGTATTAGTATCAGAAAAAATATAAAAAAGAGAACTTTTTCCTTTTCATTTTTAGCAAAATTTGATTAAAAATCTGTACAGGGCATTGGCTTGATTTAGGAGCAACTTTCAAATTTGTATAAAAACAAATGTGATCAGAATCAACTCAAATTTGAAATAGACCATAAAAACATACATATGTATTAAAAAAATTCTCTCTTTTTGGCAAAATTTGGTCAAATACCTTGTACAGAGACTTTGACCCAATTTTAGAAAAATTTGTAAAAATTATTTAAAATTGATCAGAATCAGCTCAAATTTGAAATACAACATAAAAATGTGCATATGCATCACAAAAATTATAAAAATAATGAATTATCTAATATTTATTTTTGACAAAATTTTACAAAAGACTATACCGTATACACCATATAATTTGCAGGGATTAAATAATTTTCAGATTTTTACATATTGAAAAAAATTGCAATAAAGCGTGAAGATCATAAAGGGTATGGTAACTACATCAAAATCATGAAATTTCTATTTGAAAACAACCAATTTGCAAAATTTTACACCCAAAAAATTATATGGTGCATACTGTTTTTAGCAACATTAAAAGAATAGAAATTTTAACTTGGTAAGTATAAGTCCCTTTATTAATATGTACAATACTTTGTCTCTCTTTAGACGGACAAGAAATGAAGACAGAAGACATGCCATTTGCTAAAATCAAATCTAGACAGTGATTATTAAATGTACTAATAAAATTGTGTTCTCTTTTTCTCAAACAAACTAAATGTATAACTATATGTAAACAATATTAATTGCTGCACTAATACTAGTGAAAATGTTTAACGAGTTATGTTAGTATATTAAGTAATGCTAGTACATACATTTATTGTGGCATACGCTCATAAACATCATCAGGTGATGTTTGACATTCATCATAGACTCCTTCATTCTCTTCACTTTGTTTAGTCTTGTGAATTTCATATGGTTCACATACTTGCATTGCAATATCATCATCAGCTCTATTATTATTTTGTGTTAAATAATTCAACATAATAGAATAGATGAACTTTATGTGTTTATTGGCATATGAACTCTTCCTTCTACAGCAAAATAATAACAATTATTGTACCACATAAAACAATGTAAACTATACCTTATAAAGCAGTAGATATGAACAACAACACTGACAGTTAGTAGACCACACAATATACCCACTGACACACTAAGAGCAATGACACTGTCTGATGTATCACTAGTTGATGGGATTACTGAAACTGGAGTAGCATTACAGACTGAAGTGCAGTTACATAAAGGACAACCTGTACATAGATTGAGTGAAAATGTACAAGCATAAAGTGTAAAAAATGATAATAATCTATACTTACTAACTAAACAATACCCACTAGATGAGCTAGAAATAGCTGATTGAACTGATGATAAAAACATTTTACTAGTTGATAGCTGTGGTGGTAGTGGTAATGTCTCATTAGCAATAACTGTCCATTCTCCGTATCCATTATCAGTGTATGCACGTACACCAAAAAGATAACAAGACATATCATTAAGACCAGTGATGGTAGTAAATGTATTGCCATTGGTTGAATTAGAGAACTGTAGTGTTTGAATATCAATGTCATCTTCATTTACCATTGAACAGTTAACAGACGGTAAGATATGATATCCTATCTCATATGTGATAATGGGATAGTCTGATGGAATATAACTAGGTACACTCCATGAGATAACAGCCCATGTAGTGTCCATGATACTGGATACTGAACTAACTGGACCAGGTACTAAATAAAGAGTTGACGCATTCGAATATTATAGTATAATAATTATATACCTATTCCAATCTCTACAATAATAGGATCACTGAAGGGGCCTCTTCCAACAGAACTGACAGCAGCTACACTAATGTTATACTCAGTACCAAATACTAGATCATTCAAAATGATATATTTCTCAGTACTGGTGAGGCTGTATGTGATACTACTGTTACTGATAATCACTGTATAGCCTGTGATTAGACCATTACGCTTATAACAATTGACATCATTCCAAGTGAGATTATTAATTGGTTGTAATAAAGACAATGAAATTGGTACTCCAGTAGGAGCTATGAATAAAGCATCAAGTAATAATTAATTCAAATGAAGACTATAATACCCAAACCTGTTGATATTGTGTACTCTTCAAACAAACTAGAATCAGATCTTCCTAGTACATTACCAGCTCTCACTGTGATGGTATAGTTCATACCACTGTACAGACCTATTAATGTATAACTGTATGTTGTAGTGGACTGATGAGGAGCAACAGAGACTGTCTCATTCAATGATGATAACTGGGGACATAATGGAGTATAGGAGATGGTGTAGTATGTTACATAGTTGTCACTACTGGGAATAGTCCAGTTCACTGTAATTCCAGTGGTTGAGACATTAGATACTGAAAGACTAGTTACTGGACTAGGAACTAAAACAAATATCAATTACATAGGCGTAGGAATGGGGGGGGCTGGGGGGGGGATG